AAATGTTTTGCATCGGAGGTGTCACATCAGGCTACACAATGCCAAGTTGTGATATTGGAGGAATTAAGCAATACATATTCAAACTGGAAACTGATTGTAAAGAAGAATAATTACAGAGAGCCCCATCTTGTAAATCTACAGGATGATTTGTGTTTTTGAGACTGTCATATTCGTGCATGGCAGTTTCAAAGTGGAAATGCTCAGTCATGACTTCTTATTTCACCTACGATGTGTCTTCCAGCTTATAAAAAACACCATATGGACACGTTAACAAGGTAAGCAGTACCTGAGACAGACAGGTAGATGTAGCGGTGATCTCTCTCTCGCCCTCGAGTGGCCACACATAGGAACCAGCCGGAGTCTGAGACGATGAGAGGACCGACTAACAGGGAACCGTTGGGCTGCTGGTGGTGCCTAAAAAACATAAAAACCATTAAAAACAACAATGGAAATGGAACATATCTTAGGGTGAGTGTGTTATTCTACTGACCTGTGAGTGGACAGAGGGATGCCGTCTCGTCTCCACTCCACGACGACGGCGAACGAAGGCGGAGGACTGACTCTGCAGGGCAGCACGACCGTCTGGCCGACCAGAGCCTCCACGGTGGAGGGGTCGGTCTTGTCGATGGACACCCCTCCTTGGGTCAGACTGAGGAAACACGACAGGAAAGGAAAGGAGGAAACAGAGGTGGAAAGGAAGCGTGGAAGGAGGAGATAAAGGAGGAGACATTTGGAGGGAGGAAGAGGATGAAAGTCACTTTATGCTCTACTGTTGGTTCGCCAAAGCAAGCATAAAGAGCGCCCACAACCTGGCTTCAAGGGGGCAAAGGCAGAAAGACGTGCATGCGACATAAACAAAAGCCTCACCGATAACAACAAATGTTAAAAACACTTCACCTCCCCAAACGTCCCCCAGGAGACGCTACGGACAAGTTAGACGACACAAAGGGTTTAGTGACGACACACATACGACAACATGAAGCATCACAGCAGAACCTTTATTAGTTTGATTTTAGGTGAAAACGCACACAAAAACAAAGAGTGGTGGCGACTGACACGGTGAGGTAGCACGCACTAATGAGCACCGACATTAACTCTAGACAGACAGTGAAGAGTCCCAGAAACATGTAACAGCAGAAGTGTCCGTTCAGGCGTCGCTGTGAGGTTGTCGACTTCTCTCCTGACATTTCGTCGAGGTCAAAGGGAAGGAAGAGGGTGTTGCTACGTAAAGCAGGCGTGAGAGTGAGAGTCTGCGGTGTGTTTTTAGAAAGCAAGACTACGATTAGCGTCGCGACACTGAGTCTACGTAAAGAGCAGTAAAACGAAGCGTAACACATGATCAAACATCAGGAATCTTAGCACCCTTATAGAAAACAGCATTTCTGACCACAGACTGTATGTTAAAGACGGACGTAGCCACCATGACTTCACTGGTTGGTTTGCAAATTAACATTTTGAAGCCTCGAGTTTGGAATTTGGCTTGACTTTATCATTCATTTTCCTCTAAATGAGACCATAATTTACAAAATAAACACCATGCTGTGTTAAAGGAGACTTAAAATTAGCAACTGAGACCATAAACTCAGGAGGAAAATGTTCACTGAGGTAACAAATCAAGTGAGAAGTCGCATCATTTTTCATAGGCTTCTAATATGCAACCAGAGGAGTCGCCCCCTGCTGGCTGTTAGACAGAATGCAGGTTTAAGGCACTTTTCAGACCCGGAGGCTACGTCCATCCAGTCTGAACCAGATTTACATTATGAGGTTGGGTGTCCACTTGTACTGCATCAAACGTTGAAGCACTGAAGGTCAGCAAGAAATAGACTGTTGAGTTGAGTTGTGTTTTTTTTTTTTTTTTTAGCTAACTTGTCTCAAAAGGCAAGATTTAGACTTCACTCTTGTGTTTTACATTTACAGATGGTTCACTAGTAGGTGATACCTTTTTACTGAAGATAGCTAAAATGACACATGCTTTAGATTAGTCTCTAGATCGTGTTTCAATCTCCTTCAGCTCACTCTTTGACCCTGGTGGGCAGAGTGGTTTGGGGCTCCGTCAGCAGGGATATGAAGCCAGGATTGCTGGTGGTGGCGGTGGGGTTGGGGTTCGGAGAAGCCTCCCTGGGTCTTCGGGGGTCTTACCTGGCAGCTGGGCCGCTGTGCTGTGCAGCTGTGGCAGGCAAAGGCCGGCGGGCCCGCATGTGGACTCTGGCTCTGTGGGCATGTGTGGCGGCGCTGGCGGCGCTGGTGGCCTGTCTGCCGGTGCCGCTGGTTGAGCCGCCCTGGACGGTGAAAATCCTCCCCATGTTGCGTGACCGAGCATCTGTCGACCCTCCGGCGGTGGAGCCTCCTGCAGATGGGGTGCCTGCTCCAGCTGTGCCGCGTCCTCCAGATGAGGTACCTGATCCTGATGTGGCGCGTCCTCCAGATGATGTGCCGGCTCCAGATGTGCCACGTCCTCCAGATGATGTACCAGCTCCAGATGTGGTGCGACCCCCTGATGATGTGCCTGCTCCGGCTGTGCCACGTCCTCCAGATGTGGCTCTTCCGGCGGTGGACTCCCTGGTTGGTTCTCTAGCGGGAGCTCCCGGCCGTGGGCCTTGGTGGCTGGGCCCCGGACACGCCCTCTGACACTCTGCCCGGGTCATGAAGTTGTTGCTGTTGCCGTGGCAACCGCCGTACCAGAAGTGCACACACTTGGAGGTGATGACGTCAAAGTGGTAGCGGGACACCCAGCCGCTGCAGGAGCCGGCACCACGAGGCAGGGAGCAGATCGACCGCTCAACTGCAGCAAAGAAACATGCAGGTCAGCTGTTTTTATCGCTATCATTTAGCAGCACTGCAAGAAAAAACAGCACAACCTTTTTCATCTGAAGGAATTAAAATGGGGCAGTTGGCTGTTGCAGTAAAACCCTGTTTCATCTTTTCATAAACTCAGTATTCTGCATGCTGCATTACAGCATGTCATCCCAAACCTCTTTGTCCTTTTGTTTCTTCTCATCTTTATGCTCTCAGTATCTACAGTGCCCCTAAAAACAGCATAAATGAAATCTAAACTGATGTTAATCAGTTAAATGCATCTGTGTAAAATGGAGCTGCTCTGTGACCAGCAGGAGGAGATTCTGCTTGCACTAGAATTAATATACAGTAAGACCAAGACTAACTTTATCCTTTACGAACACAAGTTTAAAAAAGTCTAATGTGTACAGTTATATTGCAGCAGCTGAGAGTCTTACTGTGGTTGGGGGGGTTGGGGCAGCCCTCTCCGTTGGGTCCCTCTGCAGGTGTAGTTCGGTCGTAGCAGCAGCCGTAGGTGGTTGTTCGACACTGAACGGCATTCTCAGTGGGCAGAGACGGAGCAGCCTGAGCAGAGACGATGGAAAAATATTAGAGGAACCACGGTAAAAAAAACAACAACAACAAAACAAAATACGATCATTTTTAACCTTTACGTGTCGACTTAATACAAAATTCACAACTTTTAACTCTTTAAAATCCAGTTTGTTTCCATGATGCTGCTGTTGTCATTTAAAAACATAAAACTGAAGCATTTTCTATGTAATAGATGCTAACACAATCTTTTGTGTGTTTCACAGTTAACAACATTGCAAATCAATGCTAATCACAAGTGTGATTATTTTTTATCCTGTGTCAGAGCTTTTT